GACTCTGAACCCTCCCGCACCGGCCAGGAGGCCTCAACAAACCACCAGGATGGAAGCAAAAGACCTGAAGACTGTTGCCAAGTGCAGATTTTATGCACTGACTCGACCGTATCTGACTACGATGACGATGAACACAAAGAGAACGAAAATACCGATCAGTCCACGGAGGAGGAAGAGCTGCCAGCATTCAATCATGCGGAAGCAGTGCCAGACAGAGGGGACATGGTCAGGATAAACGAGGACGACTTTGAGGATATCGATGCAGAGGAATGCGACTCACAGGACAGCTCATGCGAAGCATCAATGTGTGCCGCCGACATGTCGTCCGCCTCATCGCTGCTGGAACTGTGCGGGGAGCCTGTAAGAGCCCCGCTGGAGGAGGCGGAGGACGAGGACGACTCGGACGACAGCGAGTCGGATGAAGAGTTGCGAACCTACAACATCCAGGAGGAAGACAGCGAGGGGAGCGATGAGGATCTGACCGCAGTGCCGATGGTGGTGAGCGACAGCGGTAGGGTGAGGCATCTCCGGAGCCTCCTAAAGATGCCAACGCTCCTCACTCAGTCATTCTGCGAGGAGCTCGAGAGGAAGAAAAAGGCAGTGTCCTTCTTTGACGATGTCACCGTATACCTCTTTGACCAGGTAACACCTGAAAATGACTAGAAAATTTTCAGAATATAAATGAAAGCATTTTTGTCCCACCCCTTTGAATTTAGGAGAGCCCAACCGGAGATCTAGTCGACTGCAGCTTTGCCACTGAAGAGGGGTGCAGCGGGAAGGGGACAATGGATCAAAATACCTCCAACATGGATGACAGCACGTCCAACTTGGGTGAAACCATCATGGATGAAAACACCTCCAACCTGGATGACAGCACGTCCAACTTGGGTGAAACCATCACAAACGTGGACGAAGGCACCTCCAATGTGGATGACAACACATCCCACATGGATGAAACCAAACGCGAAGCCTGTGAGCCACAGTGCGATGCCGAGGAGACAGATAACGCAGAGCAAGGTGGGACATTCAAAGTGACTGCATGTTCATCTATCCTGAATGACTGTTTTGTTGTTTGCCTTTAGGTTTCGAGTGGGAGGAGGATCTTGCTTTTGAGCATTGCCAAGCTTCACCTGACGCCACGGCCGAACCCCAAGGGAAACTCGCTTCCCCATCAAACAGCCCCGATGTGCCAAAATCAGCAACTGCGGCACTGAACCGCTTCATGGTCTCCAGATTCTCCATCACGCACGTGTCAGACACGAGCGCAGCAACGGGTCCGTACCAATCTCCCTCAAAGATGTTTTAACTGTTTTCTTCAAGTTTATTTGTAAATTTTGTGAATGGATGAAGCGTCCAGCAATTTAACAGAACGTTCCATTCCCAACAGGGAGTACCGAAGATTGTCTGAAAGACTGACAGGCCATCGGCGGACAGTTGCTCATTTGTTCTCTCCCCACTTCCAACACACACAAAACAAAACATCAGGATGTATGTGATGTTTGTAATACAGAGTTTTATTTTGAATGGTCGCTTTAGGTCACCTGGCTGGCGGGGGACCCTTTTGAGACAGTGCCTCGTATTGTGGTGTTTTGCACACTTCTTAATTTGCAGATTTGCTGCTAATGACGTCATGAAGAACGGACAGTCTTTCCCCAGAGTCTGGATCAAACATATTGTGCTAGCTCAATATTCGCATCCAAGATCATTTGTTAAGTATAAAACAGCTCAGATCAAAGCAAGCTTCATTCATTCATTGGCTGCCTCCGCTGAACATTTTTAAAGACTGTTACACGCTCATATTTGATGGATTCTTGTGCTGGAAAATGAAGATATCTTTATTCTTTAAAATGTTATCGGACAAAGTAGAAGCAATGACTTACTTGGCAGGCAATGACAAACAGTCCAAATCTATTGGGATGACATAAAAACGACGTTCTAAAAATTCTAAACACCACTATTCAAATACCGAGGTTTTGTGTGTGATTCAAAAAAAATAAAGAAAAATTCCTACACACTTGCTACCTTTTGAATAGCATCTGATTCATCCCAATAAAGTTTTGATGTTCTGGTAGGCTTTTCTTGACGTTTTTCTTTCTTTGAAAAGCCAACTTGAACAGTGAAACTGTTTCATTTTAGAATGGTAGCAGGCGCGTGTGGACTCTTAACATGAGTTTGATTATCACTGGTTAATTCTGAGGGTGTGTATACTTATGCAATGACATCATTTCAGTTGTTCTTTTTACATAACTCTTGAAGGGATATTTTTTTTTTTAGTTGTACATGTAGGTCACATTGATGGTGAAAAAAGCTTTGAAATGATTTTAATTGTTTTTTGTTATATATCATCAAAAAAAAAATTTGAACGGGGGGTGTAGACTTTTCATATTCATTGTAACCTGGAAATATGTGAAGAAATTTGTGTGCCACTTCTCAATGTACGTATTTCACCTCCAACACAAGGACACCAAAGGGACATTTCGAGACACTATGAAGCTGAGCCATGTCACCAATGTACAGTGGATCGTTGTCAGTTTTTTTTCCCTGTGTATATATTGTTACGTCCTTCTCATGCCACAAGCGACACCCTCAAAACGATGACATGTTATGTATCGTATGAATGTTCCGTAAATATGTAGCAGGTAGCTCGACTTGGAATGACAACCATCACGAGTCCTTCTCATCGGCCAACGCCGTTGGAGAACGCCGGGTGGTTGTTGGCACCACAAGCGTTGCTGTCCGTTCTCCCGTCATTTCACTGTTCTTGTAACGATACTCTTCCCAAAACAATATACACAAATACTTCCTCCCCAGATATGTGTCTGATTATTTCTTGTGAAATACAGTATGAGTATTAAGGGCACGCTGGGGGAAAAACTTTCATTGTGATGAAAATGTAGCCGAGAAGTAAAAAATTGTTGGGAACCAAAAGTTGCAGTATTCTGAGTAGAAAGCTGCAATATTCCGAGAATATAGTGGCAAAATGACAGGAATACATTGAGAACAGTCAGAGAGAGAGAGAGAGAGAGAGAGAGAGAGAGAGAGAGAGAGAGAGAGAGAGAGAGAGAAAAAGAGAGAGAGAAAAGCACAGAACATTTCACTTTTATATACGTATACAAAATCTATCATGAAAAAAAAACATAGGAATCAACATTTGCAATATTACCAGAATAAAGGTCTGTGAAGAGAATATACTGGTAGCCTGAAAGTTACATGAATATTTTTTTATCATATTCCAACATAAAAAGGATCGTTTTTTTTTAAGTCGCAATATTACAAGAATAGTCATAATCTTTTCATAAGAAAAAGTCAGTAGGCTAACGCTCAAGACTGTCATAACTTTACTCTCATAAAATTATTTTATTTCTACATTAGCAATTTTTTTCTCATACTAAAGTAGCTCATAAATACAGTACTGTTTGACTACATCATTCTCATAAAAAAGTATTCAGATGTACCATCTTCACTTGTAAGGTGACCTGGAAATCACTTTTACACTCTTTAATTGGTTGAAATTTCATTTCAGACGGACATGAGGAACTCAGCATTTGACAGCTTTGATTTTGCCCGGTGAGAAAAGAATACGTGAGTGTGAAGACATAACAGTTTGAAACGTGTCCACGGGGATTTATTTTGATAAGTTTATGCACTTTCTGTACAGAACAAGAACAACACAAACAGACAAAAAAGTGGAAAACAAACCAAGTGAGAGCTATATCAAAAGTTTCAAAAAAAAAAAAAACAACAACAATAGCATGTGAAACTGGCTTCCCAAATGACAATAAAAGCCCAACTGTTAAAGCCCTCAGCGAAAAGCGCTCACACCATCTGCTAATTTTCATTTGACAGTCCTATTAGCGCATTGCCTTTTTTTTCTCCCCCACCCACGTTGACCTGCGCCGTCTCTCTGCTTCACCTCCCAGATGAGCGAGTTAATACTGAGAACCAAAAGCGATATTAATACTGCGCCTTATCAGATGAGCTAGCACTCCCGCAAAGCTAATAAGAGCGATAATAATTCCTTTCTGTATGCACGGGCTTCTATCTGGCAGATGGCATATCAATGATATTTAAAAGAGAAAAGAACCAGCGTTACTGTGAAGCCTTGGTGAAATTGCAGCAAAAAAAAAAAAAAGAAGCTGTCACATACGAAGCAAAACCAACGTACGACAAAAAGCGCAAGGCACATTTCCCACGCCAACCGGCAAATGCAACGAGAAAAAAAACATTCCAATTGAAGCCCAATCTTACTCAACCAAATGACATTGCGGCCACAACAAACCGCAGCTACAACTCGAATTTACACGGGGTGGGATTCGCTCTCAGGATTTTGCCAGTGGTAATTGATGTGAAAAATCCGTTTTTCTAAAATAATATCAAGAAGAGGAAGGGTCATCGAAAACCTCGGGGAGCGGAGCGGCCAACTTGCAGGAAAATGCATTTTCATTGGTAGAGAATACAGAAACTTGTCCTGGCTTCTCAGTAACAAGCGCGCTAACTGCACACACATATCAAAAATAAGCGATCGCAATGCTATCTCCCAAAAATCAGTTTTTCTAAAATAATAACAACAGGAAGGATCATCGAAAACCTCAAGAAGCGGAGCGGCCAACTTGCAGGAAAATGTATTTTCATTGGTAGACAATACAGAAACTTGTCCTGGCTGCTCAGTAACAAGCGCGCTAACTGCACGCACATATCAAAAATAAGCGATCGCAATGCTATCTCCCAAACACATTTTCCATCTCGCTTATAAAACTTATTAACATGTAAAGCCCACCGCGGCTGCTCTTTAAGGTCAAGAATGATAATAAAATTTGACAATGACACATCATGAAAAATTCCACAGGAGAAACATAATTATGCATCTCTATTACAAGAGTGAAGATGTTTTGGCTGTTTTTTTTTTTTTGTAATATAATCGTAATTTTACGGAACTATATTTGTCAATCAAGTGAAAAAAAAGCCAGTCTTCTGGGAAAAAAAGGGATATTTTTTTCATTCCCGCTTGGAAGAAGAATTTCTGCTCGTAATATTTCATTTTTTGTCTTAACATAACTTTTTGCTCTTGTAATAACAAACCCTCTCCATTTTTTCATGTACTTAAATGAATGTGAACTGCTGGAATCTAGGCAGTTTTTTTTTGTTTCTGTGACAAAAGTACTTTTCTTTTTCCATAGTGGTACAATTATAAGAATAAAGTCATCATGTAAAAAAGAAAGTTGAAAGGGCATGAAAAAATGATCTTACAAGAATCTAGTTCTTATATAATGTATGAAAAAGTCACAAAATTATGAGAATTATTTTTTTTCACAAGAAAAAAAATTTGGATTAAAAAAAAAAATCTAACTTCAATGTCATAAAACAAAGACAATTCTTGTAACATTCAACTTTTTGGATGATACTGAATCTATGCAAATGAAATTCTACTTGTGTAATATTTTGAATGGACTCCCATAATATTGCAACTTTTTGGGTTGTATTACCCTGACTTCATTCTTGTAAGTAAATTAATGTTAAACTTAAGAAAACTACCGTTTCAACTTTGGCTCTTTAGTTGATTTGTTATGTTTCTGTATGAAGAAAAAAAAAAAAGAAAAAAAATGTACAAGAACGTATTGACTTTATTCTCATAATCTTGCAAGCTTTGTGTGCTGTATTTCCTTGCCTTTAGTCTTTAAACGAATGGATTAGGTAAACGTCCAAGTAGGGGAACTACTCATTCAACTTTGAACTCTCCCCACTATATTTCTGTCCTAAATAAAAAAACAACAACCAAAACCACGCTTTCTAATGGCTGAAAGGGGAACCGCAGGCCGCTAGTAGAAGATGGTGGCAGATCGGTCGTCAGTGAAGGTGGGCCGGAGGTAGACCTCCATGGATCGTTCACTGTAGGGAGAGGAGAGGGCAAAAAGGGGGGAGGGGGGGGACAAGGAATATGAACCATTAGGGAAATCATTCAAGTCATAACCTAACCAACTGTATGTAGCAGCCACAGCCGAAACCACCGTGTGCCTTCCCCGAGCCTTCTATTCATGTCGGCAACCATGTAGCACAAAAACTAATAAAAAGACAAGCATGCAGGGTTTAGCACAAAACAAACAAAACTCCAAAATGAGATGGAAGCAAATGTTGCCCTGCAAAAAAAAAAATAGCCGACCTCGCAAAATAAATAAATAAAGCCTACTGTAGCCAGACAGCCATAGAGGGAAGCAGAAAGTGTTTAAAAAAATGTAAAAAAAATTAAAGCGATTGGCTGGTGGAGAGGCACGGGACTTACAGAAATTCTGTTCCCTCAGAAGCGGGACAACTCTGGAGCCAAACTGGAAGGTAAAGAGAACCTTTGCGTTTGAATGGTTCACCTCGCAGGTCATGCATTGGCTCATGTTTCGTGACCTCGATGTTTGTTAGTCTGCTGCCAGTTGAACATCCTAACTAAATCATGACACCAATCAAAATACAGTGCAACGTCAACGGTGGATTTTTTTTTTTTTTTTTTTGTCTCTCAGGTGGAATCATTGTTCCTCAAAAGAAATATGGCAAACACACTGTTCCGGGGTCAGATTTTCACCATCAAGACACCTTTTCTAGCTGTAAATACTGGCATATGGCTCTTCTTCTTTCCCTCTAGGGAATCTGATGACGATTTGTTAGACCTTGATACCACCAACAGGCCAATTGCGGAATAGCAGGCGGCCCACATTCGGACTGTGACAATTTTATCTGAACACACAAGAGAAGCTGCGGCAGTGCTTCCTTTTTCGCCCTTTTTTGTAATAGATCGATCAATAGATAGCTAATTACTTTTAGCATTTTTTTTTTTTTTTTGCCTAATGCCCTTTTTTTAATGATGGCTACAGTTTGACACTGAAACAAATTCCCCCTCAATGATTTGCAATCCACCTGAGGTTGCACTGTAACGGTCCAACTGAATGGGATGAGGTGGGGAAAAAAAAAGATACAAGACATCATGCGTCACATGCTGTAAGTGTCGTCCGTTATCGTCAAGTGGCAAGTGTTTGAAACACACACACACTAAGGGCAACACAAGTGCTGAGGAATCCACAAGGGGCAGGTTAAAAGTCACAGACGCATGCTGGGATAGGCGGCGGTTCGCACAAAACACTTAAGAAGGAAACCTGTTCCAATTGGAGCTTGGGAATGTACGCAAAGAACAGATTTGCCATCACACAAAACGATTTATTAATATATAGAGATATGTTTTATTTAGAATACCTTTTGTAAAAAGTCACCATACACTCAGGATCTGCTTTTTTTTTTAAATCACATATTCTGATATCCCTCCACGGCATGCATATGATAAAACAACTAATCAGTCTTTTTACAAGGACAACAACTGTTTGCAAAGAAAGAAAATAAACTACGGAGCAATTCCGGGCTGCACAATCGCTCGCGCACGCGCGCGCACACACACACACACACACACACACACACACACACACGCACGCACGCACGCACGCACGCACGCACGCACGCACGCACGCACGCACGCACACAAACAAAGATAAAAAAAAAAAAAAAACACTGAGAGCGATCTGCACAGGAAATCAATAGTAAACATGGCTGCTCATCGTCAACAAACTCACAGCACTTATCCAAGGCAGAGGATTTGCACAAAGAGGACCAAAGTCAATGAGTGTCGGGCTACTCCAAAGAAATTGCAGCAGTCATCAAAAAGGAGAAAACAGTGCGATTCGGTGGACGGACAGAAACAAGTCATATATCGATACACTTTGTAGATAAGATAGATACGCGCTATATTTTTGAAGCTCGCCTGCACACGATAAAAAGTGTTTTGCAGGGGAAAGGGAAAACAGCTGTGTGTAAGGCATCGGGCACACCCGCCAAAAAACCCAAAACAGGAAATGCAACGTAAAGTGAACACACCCCTCTTGGAACATCCTGTGCAAAATACTTTTTTTTTTTGTCTTGCCACCATATTTAAAACAAAATAAAATTTGCAATAATCAAGTTACATTTGTTGGATAAATCATATCGAAACATATCCACCAAAATAGCCCCCCAAAAATCGAAACAATAAAACAACACATATCACTTCAATAGACTGCACTTCCTTGACACCGATGACTACTTTTCTCTGCGCAGTTCAAAGTTGAATTCATTCCCGGGACACATACGCAACAGTAAATACACTATCTCAAATAATCGTTTCCAATTGAAATCAATGCAAATGCCACTCATCCATTTTAGCCACGCCTCAAAAAAAAAAAAAAAAAAAAACAAGCAAAACAACCCCCCCCCAAAAAAAACACCAACAACAACAACAACAAATTTGTGTTTTGAATTAGTAAAATAGCTCTATACATATCTATCTCTTTGAAAACATACAAAAAAAAGATATTTTTAACTGTAATTACTCAATGGACAATGTGCTGCTGCCTCTAGTGTGCATGCACACCTAAGCCATGTGGGGGCAGTATAATACAAAGCTATAAATGGAGAGAGTCACAGGTATGTTTGGCAATTTTTACAAAGGATCAAGAATATATGCCTGTGATTATTTTTGTCTGTCTACAGATGCTTCTCCACTGTTTGTGCTCAAACGTCCTTCGCTTCAAGCCACCTAAATGCTATTCGTTAGCCCATCTATGGCATTTCCCATTGTGCGTTATAGCAGTAAGCAACCAAATTTCAAAGCAAAGTTATGCAGTTGTTTTAAACACAATGTGTTTAATCTTTGTTTCACATTGAGTTTGAAAGTGAACTTCAACTGTGAGTGCCAAGAAACAGCTTGAATATGTTTTTTTTTTGAAGAAGAACAATTGTTCTGCCAAACTGCTGCCTGATGTTTAAATGAGATTTTTTTTTCCTCACAAAGTCAAAGCAAAAACAATAAATAAATTTGACTCATATCAATCTTATCTTTTGGCACCACTGTACGATGTTGCCTGTAATATTTGGATGCTTTTAAAAAAAAAAAAAGATGTTATAGGAGAATAACACGACTCTTACAGTGAGGGGGTGTGTTCACTCTCTCCATGCACTGTCGAACAGAAAAATTAATCATGTGTAAGTACAATCGATTACATCTCCCCTGCACAGCCACAACTTTGTGCTTTTTTTTCCCCCCCCATTCAAATGAAAGACCAGTGAAAACGCCCCCCCCCCACCCCCACCCTCTGGGTCTTTTGGCACTTTTGCGGTACAAGACCATGATGTCTTCCTTTTTTTTAGCCCCACAAAAAAGACAACCATGTACATGCAAGGGCGAGGGAAAGGGGGAAGACAAAGCAGGCTAGCAAGGGCAGTCGGTCCACACGCGACTGCCGTTGCTCAGAGTCCGTATCGCTGCAGGCCGAGCAGATAGGCCCCGCCCCGGCTCTCAATGCAATCCTCCACCCACCAACCGCTACTGTCCCGACAGCGACACCGCCAGGCAGCCAGCAGCACAGCAGCAGAGAGGCAGCAGCAGCACCCAGGACGGACGCCAGGGGGAGGAAGAGAGGACAGAAAGCAGGGATGAGACCGGCCTCATCCACTCGCTCATGGAGTGTGTGTGGAGGCGGAAGAGGGGGAGAGACGGGAGGGGGAGAAAGGGAGTGGAGAGGGGAGAGTAAAGAAGGCCAGGGGGGAGGGAGGCCCCTGTGCTATCCGCAGCTGTCTGCGTCTGTCACAATGTGTGTTGTCACACAGTCGAAATCAATTTGCCATCGGGACTGTCACTGTGGAACAAAGAGAGAAGGAAGCTTGCCAGGTCGGACACACTCAGAGAGAGAAATGGACAGAGACGGACAGGACAGGACGGGACGGGACGGCACACACGAGAAGGCAGGGCGCAGTTGGGGAGAACTTTGCAATCCTACTACTCCAAATAGCACCAAGACCAGACTTCACATTGCCTCATTACAAAGTTCACCCCCTACACCCTCAATGAAAATCATTTCATCTCAGTTGCAAGGGATGCTAGCTTAGCGCAAGTTAGCTTTTTTTGGGGTAGGGTGGCATCTCCTGCATGAGCTGAAAACTGCCACCAGAAACTGAATTTGAATAACAAATTGAATTTGTATTGTATAATTTGAATCATTGCATTGCCAAACTGAATTGTACAATTTGAATGGATCAGTTTGGAACCGAAGTCCAATAAACTTGAAACTGCATTTAAAATGTTGAAATGTATTTCATTGTCAATGAAAAAGCATCTCTGTTCATTCAAAGCAAATTTGGTTCTCTGAATTAAATTAGCTGCGACAAGCATTTATTTTATTTTAGCAATAGCAATCGATGGCAGATGCACAGATCTCTTTTTCAAAGTAGCACCTTTGTTATTGAAACATGGCTCGACAGAAAAATGGCATTTCTGAAGCAGCACATCCACTTGATAGCACCTTTCTTAACCCTTTGTGGTACAAGTCATCAGGTCAGGGAAGGGTGAAAAGGTTCTTTCAAAGAGAGGAAACGGCAGGGAATTGGTAGGAAATACGTTTCATCATTTTGAAGGCAGTTTCAAGTTTACTCTACCCAAGTTCCAAACTAATAAATTCAAATTCGGATTCAGTTTTTCAATGCAATGGTTCAACTTCAACAATACCAATTCAATTTATTTAATTCACCCTCTGTTTTTCAATGTGGTTATTCAAGTTTAGCCATTCAAATTCAAATCTAAATGATTTAATGGCACATATTTCAGCCCATAGGGATCTCCCGACAAAAAAAACAAACAAACAAACAAAAAACCCCAAAACAATGACTGACAAGCAGAAATGGGCGAAGTTTGTCGACACACATAACGCTCCTTCTCACACGCCTACGAAACACATAGAACATATATGCTGACTGACTGGACAGTCATAGGAACGGTGTTAGAGCTCTTATTTCAAAGACAGCGACAAACGCAACAGAAAAGGACAGGTAAGAGGAAAAAAAAAGATGCATTCAAAAATAAATATTCAAAACTCTGCTCCCCCTTTTTATTTTATGCGGGTTGGTTGTGAACCAAGTTTTCTGGTTTCAGAGTACAAGTGTTTTCTTAAATAGAATAATTACACTAATCTTTTTAATTAGAGATGCAAGTAAAATTTTTGATATCTTTTTTTGCGCAAATTCAGAATATGCCCTCGTTTTATATCAAATACATTAAGTTTTCATAATAATAATAATATAATATGCATTTTAGTAAAGTCCATCCATCCATCCATTTGCTGATCCGCTTAATCCTCACAAGGGTCGCGGGGGTCCTGGATCCTATCCCAGTCATCTTCGGGCATTAGGCGGGGGACACCCTGAACCGCTTGCCAGCCAAACGCAGGGCACACACAGACGAACAACCTTCCACGCTCACACTCACACCTAGGGGCAATTTTGAGCGTTCAATCAGCCTGCCATGCATGTTTTTGGAAAGTGGGAGGAAACCGGAGTACCCGAAGAAAACCCACGCAGGCCCGGGGGAGAACATGCAAACTCCAAACAGGGAGGCCGGAGCTGGAATTGAAACCGGTACCTCTGCATTGTGAGGCCGACGCGCTTACCACTGAACCACCGGGCCCGCCCATTATAGTAAAATATTAAATAATATTCATGACTGAAGGGTTAGGTTCAGCAACAAAATGTGTCATTGGTTTAACTGGTCAAACTTAACTAAAATATCACAAAAAACGTTTGTGTTAAAAAAAAAAAAGGCAAGGCGTTTTTTAAATCAACTTCAAAATATATGTTAAGAGACAATCAAGTCATCTCTGATTCAAATTTGCTGTTCATCTGTGTTATTTTCCCAAACCAAAATTCCTTATAAGGAGAATTGCAACTTTGGTAGTTTGTTATTGTTGATTTTAGAGACTCCCATTCGTAAATATATTTCAGTCCACTCTTTTAAACATTAATTTCACAAATAGGAAACTAATTGTGAAAAAAACGTGAGATTTTTTTTTCCCCATTTTGGTATGCAAACGTGAGTCACTAAATTGATACATTTAAATTTAAATGAACTGTAAATTAATTCATAAATGCATCAGTAATATAGCACATTTTCAACTCCCGCCAATCATCAATTATCCATTTTTTTTCCTGTTGCTTACAAGGAATCACAAAAAAAATTATTTCCGCTGCCATCAAAACAAACAATTTCAAAAACTTTTTTTTAACCAATGTGCAACAAACAAGTCAGGTGACACATTGGTATCTTTATTGAACATTTGACTAAATTTGACAAAGAAAGCTACATTTTATTGATTTTTCAAATGAAACTTTTTTGTATGGAATATGAAAATAAATCGAGAGCCACTTCTAGAAGCATTTAAATGAACTGTTTTGCATGTCTCGTGACAGTCACGTTATTCTTTTGTGCCTACAAACTCAAAAAGAGACAGATTTGTCATCTTCTGTTTTGATTACACCTTCCTCAAGAGAGAGAACCTTTTATTTTTAAACTGTATGAGTCACGGCGCAGGCTGGAAAAGACTTACCTTGTGGCAAAGCGGCCATCATAATCCTCAATTGCAGGCTGAAAGAAGACACACACACACCCCCCAAAAAAAATCTGATGTTAACTTGCCACCAGGTGTCAGGATACAGCAAGAAAGCCTACGCTACTAAAGAACATTGCCAAATGCCTTCAGTGACTACTTGTGTGGACTTGTCTCCTACCTGAGTGCCAAAGCCTGCCATGCTGTAGGGCCTGGGGCGGGTCTGCGCCAGACTCTGCGCCAACAATCGGGCGGTCAGGCCATAGTCGGGTGTGGGCAGGGATTGGTCGCTCTCCAAGAGGTTGCCCGTGCTGCTACTCTTTCCGTGATGTAGGCTGGCCAGACAGGAGGAGAAAAGCCTCAGAGGACGGGTCGCCATGAATGAGTGGACTAAAAAAGGCATTTTAAAACGCAAGCATTGCTGAGGCACCACTCACAGATCAGGAAAACAGCTGCACTCTTTACTGGCGAAAACCACACAGACGAACGCCTTTTTATGAGAAACTGAACAGTGGTTCCTTGACTTAAAAGCAGGGCCGTCGCACCAAAATTTGGGCCCCCATGATTAATCGTCATGAGGGCGGGTGGAGGTCAGATGGATATATTGCCAAGTATCGATACCAGGTATCGGCATCTTATTTGAAGGTATGGAGGGTACCGATACCAGTCATCGATAACGAAGGCAAAACAAAATCTGACAACTCCTCCTCTCCAGTAGTTGGCACATCAGAAAGTAAGGTCTTTGGTCACCATTTTTTTGTTAGTGTGTTAAATGAAATGTTATATATTAAAAGTACAAGCGATATCGGTACTCGGTATCGGTTGAGTACGAGTGCAAGAGTGACTACTCATGCTTGCATTGAAGTGGTATTGAGCATCCCTTAAAAGTAGTTTTAATTACATGACACTCAGGATGGGAACCCCTGCCAACTTTGTTGATGTTCCAAGCAACAAGTCTTCCCACTCCCTCCGCCCCCAGATCAGCAACCATGCTTCCAAGTGCACCAATTAAAAAATTAAAACAAAACCAAAAAAAAAAAGCCATGGTTTACTTTTTCTGGCTTCTTGTTGCTAGGCAAAGTTATAAGGGCTGCCATCGCACATTAACTAATAAAGCTGAGAATATTCCACCTTTCACCCTCTGTCGGTTTGTGTTCTGCGTCAACGACACCGACAGAATTTGGGAGGACCAAGTCGAGCTGAGATTTTCACAGCATGGGAGCTACGTAAGTACCGGAGTCAGAGCAGTGGCTATATGAAAGCTAAAAGCCAGGACAGAGATGTGAAGTGACAGGAGCCTCTTTCACAATGTCAATTACAGCCGTGAATATTCCACCTTTTTCCGCTTTGGTCTCCGTTGAATATGTGCAACACAGAACTAAGGAGGGCTGCGCTGACCTGAGAATTTAGAAACAGAGGCAGAGCGGCAGCTTTGTGAAATGACGCTGCCCAACGTCATACACATCATATTTGTAGAAGTCGCAGGCAAAAAGTGTGTGAAAGAGGCTGCAGACACCCACCAGGGAAAATACTCCAAAAACAACACTGCTTGTATCATGACAGGTTTATTTATATGCATTTTCGTAAATGATTCACTGCTCTGTATTTAATATAAAACACAAAAAGAAAAAAAGGAAACTATCTCCATCTGCCGGACCGTCCGAGTCGCCACTGCTTACTTCACTTTGAGCTTCTCGCTGTCGGTCTCAGGCAGCACTCGCGTGTAGGAGAAGGGGAACCAGCCACGCCTGGTTAAAAGAATCACACAACTTATTTTCATGACACAAAACGAGTCTCAAATGGTGTTAGAAAGCATCCATTTTACATTTTGTTCTTCTCGTTCTCGCCATAGTGCCAGCCGTCACGGGCCTCCGGCACCAGCAGAGTGATGACATCGCCCTCTGAGAAGCTGAGCAGGGTGCCGTTGTCGCCGGCGGCGTGCGAGAAGATGGCCTGCACGCGGGAACGCCCGTTCTTCTCCAGGCCCGCTGCCATGGAGCTGGACCTGGGGAGGGTCCGTGTCTCACCTGAGCAGAGGCAGAGGGTGAAAGCCATAGAGGTGAGAGACGGGATGAGCTCGTTAAGAGGTAGAGATTACAGGATGTTATTTGTGGCTTTGGTGATGCTAAATTTGGCAACTGGACCAACTCCTAAAGTTTAGGTCTGTAAGTGATATTAGTCAACAGAAGGTCTCAAATGTAAGACTCGGCTAATCCCGAGAGAAAGTCCTTATTCGTTGGATCCAAGTTACTCTGCTGGTATCAAGGTAGGGTCCAGTCCCTAAACCTGACAAACCAAGGAGGTTTACTGTCTAGCGTTATCGGATAGCTTACCCACTGGGTTCTTGTTCTTGGCGGGGCCTGGCCTGCGGACAGGGAGGGTGTTGGAGTAGACGTCGCTGACCTGTCTCTGAGGCTGGGCCTGGGACTGCACCTGTGCCTGGGTCTGGGGAGACGAAGGCCTGACTTGGGACAGAGTCCCTCCATCGGTCCAGTATTCCTCCCCGTGGACTCCCGTTGTCCCATTGACCATGGACAGGCCTTCGGGGCCCATCAGCCTCTGCAATGAACAAACAAAGCGGCCAACTTGATGCGTGTCCATACAGGTCCAATTGACTGAACGTCCGAGTAAGCTCACCGCCTGGTGCCCGAGGCCACCACTCATGAACACAGCCAGCTCGGGAGGAACGGGAAGCGGCTGGGCTCCCGGGATGGGGTCAGAGATAACCAGGTTGGATTTGGAGGTGTGCAGGGGGCTGGCGCCGCTCATGGTGGCGGATCCCATCTGCTGGGCCAGAAGCATGGCCCTCTCAGGGAGCTTGTTGGGGTCTGAACAGGCCTGTTGCCACACCGGGATCTTCTGAGTCAGAAGGTCTTTACCCTGGAAGGACAAGGAAGCGTTGTGTGACAAGGGGTGTCAAACACTGAATCTGACACCTTCAGAAAGCGATGATAGATAAGCTTGTACTCTTCTGGGAAGACTTCAGAAAATGAACAAGATTTGTAGTCATTTATCCAGATGAACAGAAGTGAAACAGGAAATGGTCTTTTCCAAACTGGTCTGACAGAGCTGGAGGAATAGAATTAGAATACAAAGATGAACATTTTGGGTAGACAATTTCTTTTTGATTTTGGGATTCAATTTAGGCATGGGGTACCTTCCGCACCAAAAACACTCATACTGCAAGGGTGAATGGACGTTATGTGCCCTGTGACTGAGTGAGCCTCTCGCCCAATGTTTCCTGGATTTACGACAGCTCACTTTGATGGTCATCCACCATGATGGTCAAGTTGAAGCCTGCCTCAGAGTACAATGATACTTTTGGGGCCTTCGAGTCAGTAAATGGGTACCTTGGCTGACTTCTGCTGCGAGTATCAGTGGTTGTCTCAGTGATCGACTGGTAACCAGTCCAGATTGTCACACTGCTTTGTACCAACGGTTTCCTTGGATCAACTCCAGCTTACCAGAACAGGATAAGCTGTAGAAAATGGACGAATGCTTGACTAAGGAGTCTAGTCCAAACCCCGATCGACCGATTCACGGAACGAGGTTGATCCTTTCTGCTTGACGTGTCCCATTACCTGGTGACAAATTCCTGTAGTCTGCTTTTTGCTCAGTCAGCTAGGGTAGACTCCAACTCACCCAAGCATGAGAAAATGGGTGTGTCTAGTCCTATCCATGATCGACTGACTCAAGAGTAGAGGTTGATCCCAAGACCTTTACAGTTACAGTGTGTAAGGAGGTCTCTGCATTGACTGATTGGTTTGCAAATGTGGTTAGAATCGCCCCCATTTCTTTGGTTCCTTTTTATGTCAAATCTGATTGGGTCATTTTCAAGTTGGAACGGAATCAAAGTTTCCCAGTTCCTCAATTCTCAGTTTGTTCGGATCTGTGGCAAAAACACCTACGATAGATGGTTCAGATTTCGAGACGACATATGGAAAGTAGAACAAAAGTTGTCAGTGGCTGTATACAGATGGACGGGTGAAATGATACAACCAAGTATTAAGTCTTAACTGATCTGCCTATTTCTGAAAATGCGCCCAAGCAAGCCTTTGTGCATTTTTGCCCCAGCATTACATACCAGCGCCGAGTTTCTCCACCCTTGACATGATCATCTAACGCTGAGGAGATCTGAAGCCACTTTCAAGACGGCCAGCCGCTTGGACTACGCTGTCTGAAATCCCATCAAAGCAGATTCTGTTTCACGGAGAATCGATGCCGCTGCCATCACGTCAAAGCCAAAAGTTCGATTAAACTTAGAGGCGCGGCTTGCTTCATTGAGAGTCTGACACGCTTTAGCTGGAAAAATAAGGCTAGCTTTTGGCACACGGCTGCCGCGTGACGCAAAGTCAACGCCTTGGTAAAGACTGCAGTCACTGAAATAAACACTTAGTCCACAAAGGTTACTCCTCGCCGTGCATCCTTGACCCGCCGCACGCTTATAAAAACAGCCCGCGTGGGCCAAGAGGCAGCCGAGCAGCCCACGCTAGCAACTCACAGGCAAGCATCTTTGCAGAACATTCTTTTTTTCATGCATTATTACCGCTCCCTCCTTGTGTTAATTTGTCCTCCTTCCTCTGTTATCGCACACACGTATAAAAACACACCGGGCACCCTTAGGGAGGTTTGCTTTCGTTCAGGTCGTCCCACGCACATGCCCACGTCCTGATTAATGACTAGACTCCATGTTGATGCAGCGCAAACACACACATAGGCACAATGCTCATCTAGTGGCATCTTCAAGCCCGACACTTCACACCCACCAGCAATCCTGGGAGACCGATGTCTGCGTTCAAGAGGCTCTTATTTCAACTGTCAGCACTGATGTGGGAAAATGCGCTCTGTTTTTTGAAAATCGACTCCAGCTTTGATTTGTATCCACGATGCCAACATCCGTTCGGCATTTGGGCCCAATTCTCCAAAGTGTGATGGTAGATTTACGACCTCAGACAACCATGGCTGCCATTGTCTACAGTCATAAAGGCTTTTTAAATGAAGAGACCCTTATGAGCGCTTAAAGCGAGCGTGTCTTTTAATCAGATGTTTCTCAATGTGCTTTGATAGCAGGTGGGTTACTAAACAAGAGAGGATGGACACTTCGTCTGCTTTTTTATGACACAGTTTTTTATTCTCTTTCTTAAAGCGGCAGGAGAAAAACAAGAAGATGACTCATTCAAATGTGCATCTGCGCCGCGACTCACCTCGTCTTCATCGTTTGACATTACAGTTAAGTGTGATGAGTGCTTTATTACTTTTGATGTTGCTATATTTTATCGTGATCAACTTATTTTCACACTTAAACGGTTTGTGAAAATCAAAATGTGATGATTAAAAAAAATATATATATATATAGAGAGAGAGAGAGAGAGAGAGAGATACATGCACATACATACATACACATACATACATACACATACACACATACACATACACATA